AGTTCAACTCGCAAGTGTAGCGCTAAAGTACTACTACTTCTCACAAAGGATTCAGTCGAAGTTTAGAATGAAGTCTTACAGAATCACACCCCTACAGGGAGTTTTGAATTCCAAAAAATCTGTGAGAGTTTCACAATGGAATGCGCACAGACTTGTTGTTATATCGTTAGTAAGTCTTAAGCCGGTCAAGCAAGCATAATAACAGGCGAGCAAAGGTAGCTCGCCGCCCGACCAGAACGAGGCTCGAGCGTACAGCGCGTCGCATTCCGCGCACAAAGAGTCGAGCTAGACTAACACAGGCTAAGCCCAACAGGGCAGTTGTTTAGGTAGGATTGCAGCCTGTTTGTATTGTACCGTCACCTGAAACAGCAGAAGGAAGAGGATGGCTTTCAGTCAGTAAGAGTCTGATCTTCCCTCTAATCCCACCTAGGACTGGTGAAGCCATTTGATGATTTTCCCATCCAAAAAAAAAGGTGGCTCAATTTTTTTTTATATTATTGTAAGGGGTTTATGTAGTGAAAACTCTTTTTTTACAAAATCACCCGCAATAAACGGTATATTTTAACTGGCAAGTTATTAACTAAAAATAAATAAATAAAATAGCGAGACTGAAGAGGAGCAGAAAATAAATATACGGGTTTCCCACATAATAATGTCGGTATTGTAAAGGAATTTAAAACAAAAACGAGTGTTAGACATTCCAGTTTAAAAAAACCTCGGTTTATATTTCTATATTGTGTGGCATGATATTATAATGCCGGTAATAAGTAACTGACCACGAATTATATCTTGTATGTATTTTTGCTGAAAAAAATTTAATTGATTGTTTTTTGTGTTGTGTGCTAATGTGATATCATTTCTAATTTAATTGGTAAACAAATATGTAAAAGTTGTTATTTCTGTTAGTAGTAGGAAAAGTTAGTGAAAATTTAATGAAGTGTGTGTGAGCTAAATTGTGCTCGTTCCACGAGTAACTTAAAACCCATTAAATATAATAAAGATTAGATCCAACCGTCGTCTGTTGCCTGGCTACCCAAAACTGAGTTTCATTCACTTTCGTTCACGTTTAAACTTGTTTATAACAATTTAAAAATCAATCACATCAAAAGCGTAAGTTTTCATCTCATCTCATCTCAAGTAACTTTTTTCGCTCTAGTTTCAGTAAGTTACTCGAAGTCATAACCGGAGCTAAATTGCTAATGAATAGATGGAAGCTTTATCAGAAACTAAGTTAAATAAGCAGCAAGTTTTCCAGCTAAGTAAAGTGAACCAATTAAAATGATATTCTTCGTAATAAAATCAGCTATTTATTTAAACCACGGGAAGTTCGACCATTAAAGAGAAGTTTTGCAAGTAAAAAAAATATATTTAAGGATCAAAAGCGTAGGTATATTTGGACATCCCCAGTTTGCTATTTCTTCGTTCCAAAGTGTAGATTCCTATGCCATAATGACCAAGAAACTGCTCTTTGTTTCAGTTACGACAAGAAATTTGTAACAGTATTAAGAAGGTTCTATCTGAGAATAATGATACAATAATATGCAGCCAGAGAGATAAAGAAATCAACCTCACGGACAATAAATGTAGACAGCTTATAAATTAAATTAGTATTTTGCAAGATATGTGTACTGAGCCGAGTTTTTTGGGGGCAAACTATGTTGTATCGTCAAGTATAGATATCTTAAACCCACTATAAAATGGAAAAAGAGAAACTAAAATACCGTAAGTTCGGGTTACTTTGACCCTGGGAGGTAACTTTGATCCAAATTTTCGAACCAATAAAAAACGAATATATGTTTGGTTCTCAGTTATTAAAGGTTAAAGGGTTTGGATCAAAGTTACCCCACAGGGTCAAAGTAACCCGAACTTACTCGGTATGCACCATGAGTAAAATTGTGATTTGAATATTTTAACAGTGTTGTTCTCATATTTTATACTGAAATACTTGAAGAACGTTCTGAACAAAGACACTATTACTTTTTTGTTTCTCCAACACAGAAATAAATCTCTGTCAAGATCTAAGTGAGTAAACAAAGTACAAATAATCTATTTGCGTTATATTATTGTCCTGCTACGGAAAATGTAGCGCGGCCTACGCCGTAGCTCGTAGCATCTAATGGCGTAGTCTTATGGCTTCAGGCTTAAGTTTTTATTTTTATTAGATCTTCAGATATTAAATATATAGGTATGTAATTTGAACAGTAATTGTAACATTCAATTATGTTAGTGAGTGAGTGTGAGAGAGCCGTAGAAGATGTCGAAATTTAAGTGATTAAGACCAAAAATATCTTGACAAAGAAGCTGGATTTTGTGTTCTATTTCTTAGTACCATTTTATAATATTATTATATTACATAGGTAATATAATAATATAATAATTACATTTTAATAAAACATTATTTCAAAAGGAAGTGCAAATAAGAACCGCAATCTTCGTTAATTCAATAGGAATAAGCCGCGGCCATCTCGTCAAATCGTTAACGTAATACTGGGATATAAAACGAGCCATTTTTTGTATCTGTAATGAAATCTTTGTCATCCAAGGTCCGAAGGGCCCCTGTGTTTACTATATTTGTAGTATTTTTAAGATCATTTATGCAATAAAATATTAATAAACAAAAGATACTATAGAAAGGTGTCAACCTGTAAAAGCAGTTTCAATAATCAAGATTATTGCTAATCCTAAAAGTTTAATCCAGTTTTAATGTGAATTAACAAAGGATTATATTTTATAAGCAAAGTTGGAGTGTCTAAAGCTCTAAGCTAATAAAAGATAAAATGTTGCAAGCTAAGGAAAGTCTTGGGATAAAAGTTTTTACGAATATAACGTTGAGACAGTTTTTTAAACATTATACGCATAGAGTTTGATAATATTAAAATCAAGCATTTGTTTCTTCTCTCTCTAATAGTACGAGTTTTGGTGGCAATTTATAGCTAGACAGTTGTATTGGGCCGGAGGTTAAGGCGCCCGCTTCTCATGCATGTTATCGCGTTCGAAACCTAGCAAGTATCAATGTGACTTTGCCGTTTTTATTTATTTCACTGACATACGGTAAAGGTTAACATCGTGAGAAAACCTGGACTTAGCCAATGGAAATCGTCAATCCGCCTTGGGCAAGTGTAGTAGATTAAAGCTCATACCTTCTCCACGTGAGAAGAGGTCTTTGCTCAGCAGTGGACTCTTATTATATTACTTATTATGTACACATATTTGTCTACGAGTATTTAATTTGGGTTAAAAACAAAACATCGTAGTTGCATAATTATTGTAATTAGTGACAATCACCCATTATCTTTCAAGTAAAATTGAGATTTGCATATTATTCATAACGCTTGAAATGCTCAATGGAATTATATTATTTTACATGCGTACAACTGTTTTGATGTAATTTTTCTTTTTTTGAACTAAAAATAAACATATTTTTTTTTTCATTTCACTACAGATAGGTTTGATATTTGAGCAGTCTTCTTTTAAATCAGTTTTAATGATTTTATGTACACAATACATAAGTTTGCATTCCTAAGTTTAAAATTCATGAAACATTCAGGAAAAATCTGCATGGATCATAAGTTATTTAGCATCTTGTTTTTAGGAATAGTATTTTAAATCTAATTGGTCTTATCCTATAGTTTATTTTGATAAGTGAATACATAATTTAGTATAGTCTTGATTCACCAATAACAATGATCACAAATTTAAAAGCAAATCTGAGTCTTAAATGGAATCTTGAGCTAAGAAAGTGTTGTTATAATAAAAATTGATGCACAAAGGCGGTTTGAGACAGTGTCAGTTAAAAATTCATCTGCTTTAAATTCAAAGAGACGACGTAGTGGAATAAGTCGTTGTTTTGTAAGGCAAGGTACAAACTACAAGCATAACTCAAGGTAGGTGGCAGCACTCAAGATTGCGTCAGCCGGAACTTTCAACTGTCTTGATAACAGTACTGAAAATTTCATAGACATTTTTGTTACAATATTTATTTTGTTCGCCCGTTAAAGATAATTTTGAAAGTAATTTTGTTGAATTCAATAGTTTGTTGGTTATCATACCTACATATGATGTTATTATGTTTTGATTATCACTGCCATTCCTAAACATTTTGAAAAGCTTTCATAATTTCAGTAGAAACGTAGCATTTCAATGAAAACACATTCACACCAAAGTTCAAACAACGCAATAAATAAAAAAGTAAGGCCACTTAATCCTTTGTGATCGTATTTCGAATAGGTTCGCAAGTTGAAATATTCGGGTAATTCGATACTGATAGATGTCTTCCGACATCGTTTTCGTGTAAGTGCTGTAAGTTCAACTTTGAAAAGGTTCGTCTGTGAACAATGGTTTTGAGTGTCACAAAGGGCGCGAATACTAAACGAATGGGGGCTTCACGGCTTCGGCAAGCGTGGGGCGGGCGGGGCGGCACGGAGAGAGGAGGGGACGCGCGCCGCCCAGCCGTGATACCAGCCTTCGAAAATTGGTAGGTTTTGGTAATCAGTGTTTTCGTATAAGGGCAACAAAGGCACATCGATTTGAAACATGTTCAGGAGGAAATTCGTCTGTGCATTACATAGTTATCATTTGTTTAAATAAAGTTTCTTACCTGTAAAACTAAGAAGGTTAGGATATGCCTTATTAGGAAGGAATACTATTCATAAATGAATTTATTCCATCATTGAGGCGTAGGAGTAATATTAGATCCAATTACCTGATTACTAGAGAATTTCCGAATAGTTCAGATCGTTAAGTAAAGTGTTACAGATCACCTATAAGGGATATTAATTTTATAAAAAATTGTACAATATTAGCAGGTTTGTAGGTGGCAACACATCGACGTAGGGCAGACTCGAGCGCGCGACAGCGGCGGGCGAACGCCGCGTCAGCCTCCGCGAGCCGCGCCGCCTTAACACAAAACAACTGGTACAGTGATATCTTGAGTGAAAAAATGCTGGTTCATTAGTAGTGAGGAGACGAGCCTGCCTGTTGCACGACTACCCGTTCCCTCACATAAAAGGGACTGAAGAACCTCGCGCCATTTTGGCCACCCGGAATTTTTACGTGAGTACAAATTTCTTTTGTTGTTCAAAGTTGTGTAAAGTAGAAATTTTAAGCATAATGTGTTTCTACAGGCGGCTTTGCTTTGTGTTCTGAGAAAAACACAGAGAAAGCTGTTAGTCGGATGAATGATTTTTTTAAAAGAATACCGGCGTCGCTTGGCGCCCCTCGCTAACTGATTTGCGGCTGGTTCAGATTGAAAATAAAACAAGTTTATTGTATGAGAATCAAGTATATAATTAGATAAAACATTTACACTGTAACAGAAACACTTTAATTAGTAAACTACGAATTACGACCAAAGTAAATAAGTTTAAATGTGGGTAGTTCCAAATTCCTTTGTCTCCGTAATTTCCTGACTACCTACAAAAATTTTCACAAGAGAAATTTTATTATTTGGCGTTTGAATAGTTCGGAAATTGTGAAGTTCATTGAATGAGCAGTTAATAATGTCGGCATTAGGAAGCGGTCTGCTATGAAAGTTTCAAACAGTTTCCGGCGCCCACCCGACTACCTCTGTATGTGACACATTGGTTTCCTGCGACGCGAACTCCGACGGGAATTTGCCAAGGGTAGTGACTACTTCGAATATCGCTCTACGCTTATTTTTATTCTTAAAGCGAGAACACATTTTTTATAAACTAAAAGTCGATGACATTTAAAAATGTGGTTACTTTTGTAACCTTTTGACTTTTTGAAGTCGCCATTAAGCAACTGAAGCCGTCGAATCTTTCTTATTATCGTTAAACGTTGAATGCCACATATACCCCAAGAAATAAATTGAAGAAAATGCGTTTTCAACGAGATATTTTTTTCTAAGTTACTATACTTAGAATATTTAGAACCAGCGACCGGCCCCGGTTTTGCATAGATGCAATGCTGATACTTTTCTCAACTATTTAATGGATATTACTAAACATAAAACCATTATTTTTCGTCACTTTGTTTACTAAAAGAAAGACACACGAATATCTCTTGCGTAGTTTTAAAGATTTAAGCATTATATATAAGGACAGAGAAATTCACTTTGTTTTATACTCTGTAGTGATATAATTATCTGGTCGAATATCATTATTCTACGTCTATGGCAGTCCAAAAACATTTACGATCTATTAAGCATAGCGACGGACTAATGATCCGAATATGAAAGGTATCTGCTTTCCCAATTATACCTTTTTATATTCGCCGTGGTAGCCATATTGGACAAGCACGGTATTATGACGGTTATTGCTCGTAAATGTTCTTAATTAAAGAAAGGTATTAGGTTTCTTGCGTGTTATGTTATTAGAGTAGGTATGTACGTCTACTTTACTGAACGTTATTAGTTAGTTATAAACAAAATAATTAGAAATATAGATACACGAAGTTAGAATAAAATGTCGTGGCGGCCAGTAAGTAGCCCGTAAGAATTTATTAAAACACAACAATCCTTTTTTGGTCTGTAGTGTAAAAAGCATAAAAACAAACAACCTCAAAAGAGGATGGCAACGTTTACTATCAAAATTCATTCGTTCATTTAGATTTAGTTCAATTGGATGGTTTATCGAACAAATATTGTGTGGGTCTGTGGTTTATTGGAGCGAATTGAACGAAGTATATTTAATCAATACTGCCCACCAAATTATTGACAAAAACATTTCGAATTTAATTATTACTACCAATGGAAACTACATTTACGAGGTTATGAATAGCAATAATAAATTTTGCGGTTACCAGGGTAAAAAATTTAATCCGAATATTAATTTAATGTGAATAATTTATAATGAGCTCTTGTTGCCTGTTTCATTATTTATTGTTAATACGGTTTTAACACATTATATTTTCTGTTTTTGTTAACGTTTATGTTATTGTATTATTATTATTTCTTTTTTAAACTGAATTTAAAGATTCCTTGTAGTGTTTGTCCTATAAGTACAATTATAAATAATTTGTAGGTTAACAATGTAGTAGAATATGTAATATATTATGTTACATCAAGATACACAGACACGAATCTTAAATATAGGCTTATTCTTTTGTCTGGCCTTGTCGTAACAGAGCTGAAGTCAAAACTAAGTCTAAAAATGGACTGACACATATACCTAGTAACCTTTTCTGATTTCGTACTCAATTCCCAATGTAAGTTCCATTATTGGAGTCGACTTTTATTGTGTAGTTATCTCATAGCCCGATTGACTGTCTATTCAAATACTTTTTGTAGCCATACTCTTTTCGCATTAAGATTCGATATTTAAACAAACCTTTTTAGCAGTGTCTTTTATCGATTTCAACTTCTATTCCATAGGGATACGGCATATGATTGATTAAAAAAAGTGTTAGACTGCAGCCGCTCCACCAACGCAGTAAATGTCAAAATCGTTGGAAGATCTTTTTTAAAGCTATTGATGTATTGTAGATTTAATTACAGGCTCTTCGCTCTTAACTTTGGCTCTTAGTATTGCTGATAAGTATTAAAAATCTCCAGAAAATAAAAATAAGGAAATACTAAAACAAAAAAGTCAATAAATATTTTTGTAGTTACATTGTAAGCTATGATATTAATTCTTATAATGGGCATTGATCCAAACTTGATCGTGTTAACAAGTTTTTTCCTAAATCCAATAAGACTTATCTAAGTTAGGGATAAAATCCTCGCTCCCAGGCTGTCCTCGTGTTGTAATAATATAGAAAGCGTCACTCTAAATATTTTAACGTGTACGAAAGACTACCTAAATAAGCTAGTGCTGGCGACCCGTTATTCATATCGCAAAGGCAATCTTTTGTCGACTATGCAACACTATTCCAACTTTAAATATTTAAACCGAAATTCAAAATTGTAACATAACTACTTGAATTCGGAATGGAACTCCTTTTGAAAACGCTTGCACTTTGAACGTGGCAACACTGCTGTATATTCCGTTCTACCAACATTAAAAATCTAATTTCTGTTTAAAAGTTTAAATATTGCTCCAAAAAGGTCTAGCTCGCATTCGTGTTTAACAGGCCTGAAGTGGATTATAGCATTTAGCCGTTTCACATTCATTTCCGCCGGAGATGTTCAGGCCTCTGAAAAAACTTCACGAATTATTAACTTTCTGAAATACGTTTCAATGGAACTGGCTGCTAATTTCGTTATTTTTCTTTTTAAAAGTTTTCCTTTCCATTTATTCCAATTTGCTTACGATCTGAAACCATTACGGTAATAGGAATTACTTAAATATAAATGTAATTTCCTAAATAAGTTGTTTTTGTAATTGTAATTGGCTATATGTTATTAATGGCAAAACTTTAGATGAATATATTCGTCGTAATTTAATATACCCACGTTAGTCAGTGTGTAAATTAAAAAAAATATGATATTATATTTTTCATACAGTTACAATTAATACTTTCAGTGGTTTATTGTTTGAAGATGACAAATGTTTTGGTATAAATTACGAATGGCAATGATTGCTTGCCATCAGGTAATCCGTTTGTACGTTTGCCAATTTATGACATAACAAAGTTTTTCTGTATAACAAAAAAGAGGTTACTTAAAGACTATGTAGTCACAACAAAACTATATTCCATAGAGATGTTTATGAGGTAAAAATACTTGTTCTATATTCGAAATATCGTAATATTGTAGGTAATCTTGTTCGATACTGTTAGTATTATTCGTCTACTGTGCCGATTGGAAGCCAATGTAGCTTTATTTTTATTTCCAATTCTGTAATAGAGATAGAAAAAGCATTTTTATGTAAGGTTCACCGATTTTGTTGAATTAAAACAGCTATTCGATGTGTCAGTTGTGTTGTAGGTAACTAAAATTTTTATTCGGTACTAGCAGATCGCCCCTGCTTCGCACGGGTAACCGACTACCCTGGTGTCAGTTATTTGTTTTGCAAGCGAACGGCCGCAGCGTCGAAAGGGTTGTTAATGACCGCTATTCTTCTTTACTTTTCTAAAGTTTTCTCTTGTAAGAACCTTCTCCCAACAATAACAAACCCAGCAAAAAAAGAATTAGCAAAATTGGTCCAGGCGTTGTTTGTTGAGTTATGCGCTTACCAACACATTTTGCGATCCATTTTTATATATAAGAAGATGATGGAGGTAGTTCGAAAAATAAATATTTTTTTATTTTGTAAAATTTTACATTAGCTTTCGTTTTAAGATTAGTATAGACATCAATTTTGTCATAAGTTACGTAAATAAATACCTACTGTCTGATTGAGAAGCAAAAGGAAGAAGGAATCGTGGCTAAAAAAATAAACACGCGAACATTATTGGACATGACTGCATAAAATAAAAGTTTTCTATAAACTTTGTGAATACGTAAGCAGCGGACAAAGTTTGGTTAAAAAAAATCCATCTTGTGGGGTTTGTAAAAAATTCATAAGTTACGTTCATTATGGTTCAAGTAATATTTGATTTTCAGAAGTGATGCAGTTTTCATAAGGTAAAAGGAAAATTTGAAGTTATTGAATATGAAATAAGTTTCAATGAGAATAGGGTGGTAAACAGACAATATACATACATATTATTATTATTTTACGGATACGTATTATAAATCATAAATTGTAATTTTTATTTCCTCGTGATTCATTGAGCTAATCAACACTACATAAGTTAGAAACTAACTTAATTAACATATATTTAACTCTCGATATTTCTTGATTCTTATACTCATAGGTACCTTTTTAGGGAGTGGAAATCTTCTCTTCCTCATGGTTGGGCAATAGGGATTATCAATGTCTTACTGACTAAAATCCACCCTGTGACTTCTGCTCCAGATAAATACCTAAGAACAGCTTAAAGTACGCCACAGTAGATTTCCAAACATTTAAAATTCAGTGTTAAGTGTTAATTAATAAATTTCATTTCTAAGTTCTTTGTTCCTGTCATCTATTTTGAGATAAAACCGAAGCTTAGTAAAATTTCAAACGAAGTTTTATGTCAGAGAAAATGGCTGGAAATACGGTCGACCTATTTCTCAGTAGTAGGCTGATACCGAAATATTATGCAAAGCATCCGGTACATAAAAG